AAAACATGATGGAAATATGACATTTATGTTGGTTTCATGTATTCATAAAGATGTTTACAGTCTTCCCTTCACTCTCCAAGTCCTAACTCTCCAGTCATCTTCCACAGCCTCTCTCTATATCCAATAACTTGTCTTGACCTTGTTAAAAAGCTCTCTTCTGATTTCACACATCCACATGATCAGTTTATACCTCCTGAAGAATACCACTTCATTCTGCTGTATAATGTCTTCTGTGGTTCTGTAGGAAACTAAAATGTGAGGAAATGATGTTCATCAGGGTTATTTGGGGTTTGGGGTTTGGGGTTGGTGATTATGTATTACTTAACAGAAAGCATTTGTTACAAGCTGGAAATGTGGAGATTCAAAGGTGTGGACAGGGAAGGTCTAAATAAAAGGTACCATTGAGCTGCATTATGGTAAATGTAGGATAAATAAATAAAGATTGAAGTGAAACATTATCTTTCATAGCTTTGGAGGAATTTAAATCTCTAAGGCTGATATATGTGACACTTTACTTGTAATTAGCACCAGCCATATTATTACTGTATTACTTACTTCATGACTCTTTTAGAAACATTATTGAAGATTTTTCTTACTCACTTTAAGATATTGATCACTAATAACTAACTCTTGACACAGCATTCAGAAAATTCTGGCTTAATTTAGTTACTTTTTCACAGTGAACAGGTCCAAACAGGTCTTGGAATTTACCAAAGGAGGCGATTTAGAACCCTACTAAACCACAACCAAATAACACAATTAAAGACTTAACTACTTTCTTCCTGCCTTTTGTCCCTCAGGCAAATATGCATGAATGTTCTGCTTGTTGCTACTTGTTAACTGTTTAGCTGGAGGCTGAGGTGAGGCATGACAGCTGTAGAGAAAACTGACACCTTTTACACTTGCATACTGTATGAAGAAATACATTTAAAGTATCAGGTATACTGAAATTATCAGTTAATATTCAAAATAAATGGCCCCAGTCAAATTCAATGCTACACTATTTTTTTCCTTCTGCATATTTATGTCAAGAAACAGGAGGATCTAGCACAAGACGTGTTTGGATATGTCTTGCTTTGTGTGCTATTAAGGAAGTCTTATAGGAAAAAATTATGATTTAACTTGACTTAAGTGTAATTTATTTAACACATCACATAGTTTGTAAATGTTTTTGAAATAAACTGACTGAAGTTGATCAGGAAGTATAAATTATATCTCAGACTACAGTAAATATATTATTATTGGTCAATAACATCTTAAATAGCCAATAGAAAACAAATCTGTGAAAACATTGTGTCCAAACGACGCCTTCATTTCTCAAATGGAAGAATGTTGATCATCTTGTTCAACAGCTCAGGTTTAAATAGAGAATTCACGCAGGGTAAGATATGTTTGATTCTTTATTATAATTTCATTATAAACAACATGTTACAAAACTACATATACACCAACCAAAAAAAACATTTGTTTACACATAAAAAATGCTTTTTATATACCACAGCAACAATATTTGACCGAAGGTGAATGAAAATAGGCAACAATATGGCTAAAACGAATAAAAAACACATTTGCATGTGGCCACATCTTCATTAAAATTATGCTGCCTTCACGACTAAAAGCACAAACACATAGAAACAGAACAAAGTTTAAAGATGAATTTTGGTGTTTGGCGTCAGTATTAGATTCGCAAAGGGCATTATAACGTTGAACAGCACAATAGGAGGAGTAAAACAAAACAACAACAATCAGCCGCTGACTTTAGACAAAAGAATCCTCCAAATGACCTTTGATGAATGATTTCAGGCTGTTTTGCACGCAGGCGTATTCTTCAGTCCTGTTTCTCACTGTGTATTTGACTGTGCTACATATTCTACTTTAAAACTACTTCTACAATTTATAATTTCAGGCCTCTATAGAAGATGTGGGGTCAGGCTTGGTGAGAGTGGGGGAAGTGAAGCTGACCCGGACGTCCCGAGGGTAAAAACCCTGAAGAACCCCGTCCACAACAATATCTGGGAGATCTGCAAGACAGGGCTCAGGCTTACTGTGTGAACAAGGTTGTCATGTTTTTTTATTGCTTTTCGATTCAAAATGACATTACCAAACAACAAAATGGACAGAGAAGTGCAGAGTCAGTGTCAAAATGTTGCAGAACACAAAATGCTGTACAGAAGCTGTTCTCTCCTACCTGACGTGCAGTCAGAGAGATAAGGATCCTGAAAAAATCCAAACACTCGCTGATGTGGTAACTGATAACTGAGGGAAAAAGGTAAAAATGTGACTGATTAGTCTTATGCAACATTAAAAATAACATTATGTGCACACAAAATACATGCCTGAAGCACAAAAAGGAGGTTGGGTGCTGACACAGATGTTTATACAAACAGGACCAAGCCTGTGCTTCGGGGCAACAGTCGAACCCCTGAGTAGACGAGTGGCCTTTAAGTGCAACACACACTGATCATTT